ATGTGTCTGGATGCTGCAGCTGCTGTCAGGTCAGTTAGCCTCGTCTTTAGCTCACATTTTATAATCAAACAGCACATCCTTCCTACATTAAAACCTAAATATATGTGTGTCCATCTCTACAGGCCCCATGGACACGCTGTCCTCTAACAACTTTGTCTTCCACCCCCTGACCCAACACCAGGACAGGGCCAGCCTTCTTTGCCAAGCAGCCCTCGGCGGGAGTCCCACAGGTAGGTACGACAGGACCCACCATGACCCCACAACCATACAAAATGACCCCACATCACTGCCACTGCTATGTCAACTCAGGGACAACCATCTCAAAGCTCTGCTCCACTGTCGCCACCCAACCAACGAAAGACATCAGTGGCCCCACATCCGAATAACACACACACTCACACACACACAGCACACACTACAAATCCCAGAGGCTTCCCCCAGTCAGCAGGCCTGACTTCCTCCCAACGCAGCGGCGAACGGGCAAGAAACCAGAGGATCTGCTGAGCCACCTTTTCAACCCCAGCAAGACACCCACACCTGAGGCAGCCCAAGCACTAACTGCCAATAACACCACCACCGCCACAGGGTGCACGCCACTGCCCCACCCACCCAACCTGCAGGCCAAAGGCCAGGAGTCAGAGCGGAAGGAATAGGCAGCAGAAGAAGGCCTGTCCAACGCACCAAAGACTGGGCACTCAACCAACCCCACACTACAGACCTGGAGGCGTCCAACCATCGCGGTAGTGTACTCCCCCACCCCCCACATAGCACATCCCCATCGCGAACATCGCATCAGGTTGACAGGACAGCCCCACCAGGCAAAGCAAAGCCACGCCCCAGATCGCCACACCGCCGATGGCCAGGCAAACACCTCCAGCCGACCACCCGCCAGACCCCAGCTGCTATTCTGGCCAGAGGGCCGACCACCGCAACCAGGAGCCATGATCCAAAAATCTAACTCCAGGGGAACCGAAACGCCAGCTAAGCCCCCAACAACCACCCAGGACCTAACCACAGCCCAGCCCCCAACCCCGAATTATGGTGTTGTTGCATGTTGTTTTAAAGTACAGCCCTGGTACAAGGCCAAGAGGGGCAATCACAGGTCCCTGCGGTGCAAAACAAAACCTCCGGGAACATACCCGCCAGGAACAATGCAGGACCTGGTTTCACCTCACACTTCCTCCTGGCTCTCAAGCCCAGCCAGAACCTGAGCCCAGGGGCGATACTCCCCAGAACCCCAAGCCCCTGAGCCCACCCTGAACCCAGCCAGGAGCAGCTAGGCCACCAGGCCAGTAACCTATGTCCATGGGTACAGACCGCCCAAAGGCCTGTAGGCCATAAGTCACCCCCACCCAGCCCAAAAAGAAAAGTGTTAACCCCTTCTTTTCTCCCAATACCAAAACTTATAACAGTTATTAAAAGAATGAGCACAAAATAACTTGAGTTTTTAAAGATTTTGCACAAATGCAAACAAGAAAATGGCATGAAAACAGTATGGTCATATAAATGATTCACCTCCAACTGCCTGCCAATTATTTTATTTAACATTCAAAAATATTTTCTTTATTTAAAAAATTGTTAAATTTGATTTTAAATCAAAAACAAATTAAAGTAACCTGTATTCATTCAACTGCTGGATGTCCAACTTCGTAGCTGTTGAGTAACCATGTCCCCTTGAGCACATTAGTTAAACAGCCCTGTCATGTAAAACATTTTCATTTGTTGTCTGTGCCAATGACTGGTAAAACAGTCTCTTGTTAATTAGGGGTCAGTGAAAAATATTTCTTTATTTGACTTTTTAGGGACACTCCTAAAATGTTCATTGAAGGTTTTATGATAGTTTCGGGACATGTTCAATGTTTCTTATAGGTGCCTTAACTATTTATTTATTTATTGTGAAGCCGTTCAGCTAATAATCCCGGAGCCAGCCATACACGTACAAAGAAAATTGAAAAGTCTTCTGCCCTGTGGCCCGGCTTACTGCCAGAACAGTAACCTCATGAGCAAACTGCAGACCCACTAAACTGATCTATAATTAATGTCTTTCTTCATTCTGTCTGTCCTCTATGTGTAATAAAATCATATTCATGCTGCTTGCGATTCCTGCATCACATACATAACATTAACACCTGTTAATTATTTTATAAATGCATGTATGTTTTTATGGCTGTATCAATTTACATTTTTTACTCAATCCATCAGTCTTAACAAACAAGGCATGTTTAAGCAAACCCTGCATAAATCCCTATGTGTTTATAAAGCATTGCAAGACAAGTTCAGTGTCATTGGAGATACAGTCCTCTCCCCTTTGGAAGTAAAGGTTAAAAAGCTAAAATCTGTGGGTTAAATTAATGTGAAAAAGACTTAATATTCTCGATGACTATATAAATAGGTTATTTCCAGGAAGTGCTTTCATCTTCCTTCTTTTTTCAAACAGCAACATGAAGCAATGTACAACCCAAATTCTGAAAAAAATTGTGAAATGTGCAAACCTTATAAACCCATATTTTAAATGAGCATAGATAACATACTGAATGTTTATTACAT